AGAACATGAAGTCATTAATTCTATTAACTTATTCTTCTGAATTTTTCAGCAGACGAGCTGTTTCTTTTTCCGTAGCTTTTCCCGTATCTATACGGGGGTCGCTATTTCGGTTTTGGCAGGGTTTTTACGGCCGGATGCCCTTCCTGACGCCAACCATACCCTAATTTAGCAGTGAAAGACTAGAGGGAAGGCTGCTAGTCATCACCACCCACCGCCAACTCTTGGGCTACTCCTTTACCAATGAATAGTGGGATTGACTATCACATTATAATGCCCCCATGGCTAAAAGGGCGAGCATGTTTGGTGGGATGGGGGCGCAAACCCGTGACCCGCAGATTGCGAGTCGAGCGTCTTACCCACCTGGCCATGACGGGCACTGCAGACGAGCTGTTTAAGATACTAAAAAAATATGATGCCCTATCTATCATTCAATTTGCTACGTCACTGAGTTATAAAAGTTTCCAAGAATTCCACCCTTCTTCAATAACCTAGACAAGGCTGAGTTAAAACATTTTTAAATTGTTGTTTGTACATATCCATCATACAAATAATACACAGTTCACTACTTTAAGAAGCCTAGTCTTGTTTTTTTTACTTGCCCTAGTATGGGGTTACCAATAAGGGATTGAATGCCCTGAAACTAGTATAAATCAAAAGACAAGTGGTGAATTGAACAAATAGATTGGACATCACATTTATTTTTAGTAAAAATGCCAAAGTTTATATTAGGAAGTTTCTTTTGGAAAAACCTGCACATTTTATTGGTGCTTTTGGAAAAAGAAACAGCACTCTTGTAGTGTTAATAAATATATATATAACAGGCACACAATAACTCCCATGATTTTCCCTCAAAATCAAGGTTTGGGCCATGCCTAATTTCTGGTTTTCTCCAGTGATCAAAATTGAGTATGATCATTCTACTGCAACCGATTTTCATTAGAAAATATTGTACCATTTCTCAAAATAAAAAAATAAGTTTATTTTTAGGTACTAGACTAAATATATTTCTTTCTAACACACACATGTACTATTATTTTTTACACTTCTAGTCCTCAAAAAATTGTATTCAAGCCATTTCACCTACTCTTGATGTGTAATACACACTTACATACTAGCACTAGTAAAACGTACATAGAAAAATTATAGAAAAGAAAAAATACAAGCAGGTAAGCAGGCATAATATTTACAAAACTACAAATATTAAAATAGTTATTATATGACATATAAAAACACGCATATCAATATCTAACCTTTTTCAGGAAGCTGCACAAGGAACAACTTCTTGTGTTCTTTAGGTTTAGTAATGTGAGGTGGCACATAAGGGTACTGAAAATAGAAATTAGCTAATATCAATTTCATACGCACTAAGTCCTTCAAGGTATCTTTCCCAACCTGAGAAAACACTAAAATATGAATCAGCTTAGAAATAAATAGCATTTAACAACAACAAAAAAAAAACAGCATAATACTGGTAAAGAACCTTCAACAATGACCTCAGTCAGTTGAGGAAATCATGTTTAAACACAAAAACTTACTTGAAAGTACATTTCCAGTAGAGAATAACACATTTTTACCCTAATTTTATGATCAGGATATATCCCACCAAATTGGAAAACAGCCTCAGTAAACCTGATAAGTTTTCACAGCACCCAGAAAACTATATACCAATAAGTCTAACAAGAACAATGAGCACATTATTCAAAAGAATTATCATCAGAAAACTACTAAACCTCTTAGAAACTTACCACCTACTTTTACAAATACAAAACAGCTTCAGGAAAACAGACAAACATTTAATCGGGCTCAATGAAACCATAGCTAAAAATATAAATATTAACAGCTGCATTCCTCGATGTCCAAAAAGCTTATGATTCAGTTTGGTACAGTGGAATAAGATATAATCTAATAAAATCTAAAAATCCTAAATGGTACCTATGATATATCTTTGACTTTTTAAACCAGAGATCCATTAAAATTAAAGAAAACAGCACTGATTCATTTTGTTTATCTGCTAGAATGCCTAAAGGCTCATTCATCAGCCCCTTGTCTATTCTCTTTGTTAATGATCTAAACCTACCTATTAAAATAAACTCACACACAAAAACCTCCTAGTATGTAGATTATGTCACAGTAGAGCTCTTCCAAAATTCTAATGCAAAGTGGCCAAATGCCTAATAACTAAACCACATAAAAAAAAATTAAAAAGTTATACTAAACCCCCTCTATAAATACAATTCACAGTTTTTCACAGAAAACTACAAAAAAGAATGAAAGGAACAAAGCAGGTCCAAATCAATATATACAAAAATGAAATAAAAGACAAAAGAACAAGAACTGCAAAATTCATAAGAATTACATATGACACTGGATTATCATGGAACAAGCACATTAACAGCACCTTAGCTAAAGCTATTTCCCAAATCAATATCCTCAAAGCATTAAAATATTCTATAAGCCAAAACAAAATTAACAATACACAAAACATTTATACACTCTATGACAGAATACGGCTGTGTTACACAACTAAACACATTTGATGGTAACTACCTAAAACTACAAAAAATACAAAATAACCATAAGAATTATCACAGAACTACCCAGTTCTACATATATAAAAGAATTACACGGATCAACCAATCTTCCTTGCATAAAAGACAGATTACTTACCCTAGGAAAACTTATTTTAAAATACCAAAACAAAGAAGTTAATATTTTCCAAAACTGAAAATGTATTTCCAATAATATTTATGTCCACTAAGCATTGAAAATATTTGCTCCAGTCTTTTATACCCCACTTGATTGCTCTTGGCAAATTCTAATTTCCAAAATTCTCCACCAACTTCAATGCATCCTCAATCTAGGTACTGTATATAAGAACCTCATTCAGATAATGTAATCACTTTTTCAAGACATAAGCCAGCTCTTAGTGAGGAGGTAGGGTTGGAGAGTGTCAGCTGAGGTAAGTATTATTGAAAACATTTTCAGTTTAGGAAAATGTTAACTTCCAAAACATACTTACCTCTGCTGACACTATAGCTAGAATTCCCCATTGAGAAGGTGGAGGAACTGGTGCAGGCATGAACCATACAGAAAGTGTCTGTATAGAACAAAAGTGTACCAAGATAAAGATGGTACAAGAGTGAGGTAACCTCACTACATCCAGAACAGGTATGCTCTTCACCTGGAACTCAATTCCTACATCAAAGGTGGAATAGAATATGAGTAATCATCAGCATAAGCCAGCCACAACCAGATAGCCGGGGTTGGAATTAAGGAGCCGTGGTACCTATATTCCACATTGGTGGCTAGGGCTATTGGACCACAATGTTATATATAAATATATATATGCTTTTGACTGGATCCCAACCTATAGCCATAGAGTGATGTGTTACCCACCACTGGAATCATGACGTGAAAGTACACAACACTGAAGTAAACAAACTTTCTCCTCCACCTAAAGAAGTCCAAAAGGCAACAAACACCCCAGACTCGGAATGACAGGATCGTGTATGCCGTACTCAACCAATGGAACAGAACTCATTCGATTTAGAATTATGAACATTCAGCCAAACTCCTACACCAAGTGGGCAAGGAGTATTCCGCTTGCCCCTGGAATTATGGAGAGGACATGGAACCTGTGCTCAACCAAGGACTTAGGATGGGACCACTTCGCATTCGTAATTATGAGGAGATAGTGGATCTCCTTCCATGAACAAGAAATGAAACTGATATTGATCAAAGAGAAGGGCCATGCACTCCCAAACTGAATAGATTTGTGTCAAATCTGAACCATAATTATGAATAGGCTCCCGTGGAGGTTGGTGCCACTCCTACTGCCATCTGAGAAAAACATCCAGGGACCCAAGTAGGAGGGCCCCCAACTTCGCCCCTCTTCTTCAAGAGTGGAGGAACACACTCAAACGCTATGGAGGAAAAGCCTCTGTCCGATACCTGTGCAACTGGAAACTGTAGGTGGTAAGGACTCCCGAGCTCCCCTAATAAAATCTGGAGGAGTAATACGCATTGGGGAGTCCTGAGGAACAGTGCTCTGGAAACTGTGCAATAGGTGAACCAAGTTCCCTAGATTTTAAAAGCAAACTGACCCCGATTTATTCAACCTGAAGATTGCCAGGGACAGGCAGGATCCTCATTAGCTTTACTCATAATAGTCCATGAGTGGCAGTCAATAATAATAATAAGTTAATATCATCCAGTAGGTGCCTAGATGATCTTATGGAACACCCCATTTCGACAGAACCTGCTGCAACCTGTAGTAATTATAGTGAAAGTGATTGCTAGTGCGGAATTTAAAAGAGAAAGCATACATGCCTGGGCAACACTCGCCACAGATTGGAATCCAATGAAAAATAAAGGGACTGTGGAAATAAAAGAGTATATGATTGTGAAAAATTCTCACTGTTGGTTAAAATCTAACAGATGTGGTCAAAATAGCTACAGAGGGTAGTCAAAATCCTTCAAAAGAGGAAACTGCCAGATCATGTAAGTAATGAGATAGGAAAGTACTGGAGTAATCCACATAATAGCCCGCACAATGTCTTCCAGAGGGTAATTCAACTGGGCAGCTAATGACAGAGAGATATGATGAATCTGGTGAAATGTGACATGCAAAAGATTCCTCTCCTATAATGATAATACATTATAGGTCATGTGAATCAATTTACCAAGCCACCTCGTTATGGTAATGGGAGGTAAATAACAGGAAATAGAAGGATTCCTACTACCTCAAAATGAGTTAGTACAAGCAACATAACACTTGAGGGGCCTAACAGGGCATAACAAATGATCAGGATCAGAGCAGTTATAAAGGTGAGAAATTGCTGGCAAATGGATTGGTGCAAAAGATCTTTCCTCTTTCCTGGCTGCCAGAGTCTTGGGAAGAAAAAAACCTATTGGGGTAAAGCTGGACAAATGTGGAATGACAAAGAGTTTGATGCATATGAATTCCAAACAACTCTGTCCGACGAAGTCCACAAGCCAACAACAACAAAACATTTAATTTAAGAAATAGGTGAAACAAAGGACATAAAACTAAGGGCTCAAAGGGAGAATGAGACAATGCATGTAAAACAACTGTAAAGTCCCAATTTGGTAATTGAAAAGGTCATTTAGGTCGAAGAATACGAAAGAAATTGAGTAGACCTGATAGTACTGAGGACTCAAAAACCTTCCGATATTTGGAATACTGAAAAATAGTGAATAAGGATGTCTTATATAACACCACTGTAGACGAAGCAAGACTCTTCTGAAATACCCAAGTCATAAAATGGGATATGGTACATACTTCAGGGTGAAGAGGGTTTAAAATCCTTTTAATACACCACTGATGATAGGTATTCCATTTCCGTTGATAAATGACTGTGGTTGGCCTATGGAGAGATTTAGTTAAATACAGCGAAACCTTAGAAGTTAAACAACTATGTCAAGTATAGGATCGCATAACTTCCAAGCATGAAGATTGAGTTTCCACATCAGGGTGGAGAATGTTTGATCGAGGTTGTCTCAACAGAGACTGCCAATATAGAAGAGGTAAAGGTGGACATTCCTGCAGAACCAAAGAAGCAGAAACCATGTTTGAGCTAGCCAATATAGTGCCACCAAGAGAGCTCGATAGGGAATGGAACGAACCATAGTCAGAACCTGGGGCAATAGCCGAATCGGGAGAAAGGCATACAGATGTACACTTGTCCAGTCCTGACCATTATAGGTACAGTAACCATCACAAAAATGGAAAAATACTTAATCCAAATTCATAGCCCTAAGGGAGACTATTACAGACAGATATTACTGAAGAAGAGTATACTATCCATTGCTTGGAAATTACATAACTATCCAGTACAAAAATATGATAAATAACTAACCACATAAGAGAAGATGTACATCTAGAAGGGAACTCATCCAGGATCACCAAAACAAAAGAAAGTTATACCAAAACCCATAAAAGCCTCAAAAAAAGAGCCCTTACTGTGAAAGAGAATCCCAAAAATCTCCACAAAGTCTAACATCTCATCTCTATCCTCCTCTCTCTCTTCTTTCACTAACGATAATATCAATTTTTTTAAAATTCAAAATCCTAGCTCTCCCCCTAAGTTTTCCTTGGTGGATGAAAAGGGGAAATTCCCTACCTCAAAATCACTGTCTTTTATCTTATTCTATCCCAAATTATTAGACAGATTGTTGGGAAGTGTTAATCTTATACACTTATATACTGATAGAAGGCTGTTAAAATTGTTTCTGAATCTGAATTGTTTTATTCTTACCTAGAACTTAATAATCTAAGCATCATCTATATCATACAACATCCTCATTTAGCTATGTTATTTGGCAATTTTTACTACAGAGAAAGGTTATTATTTAGCGGTGCACCACTCCCACCCAAATTTCCAAGGCTAGAAAATGGTGGATAAGCAGGCAAGCAAAATAAAACAATAAAAAATATGCTATATTAATAATCACATAGCTCAAAAATTTCATGACAGATAGTGAAAACATTCTAATAACATTTTGATATTTTTTCTCATTGAGTATAGATCTAAAAGATATTTAAAATTGTCTGGACAGTGCCACAATACTTATGCATTGTGAGCATTTTTCAAAATAATTAGTATTAAGTTGCAAGACAAATGTAAATGGTACAAAGGACAGAATAAATACCTGAGGAGGTTCAAAATTAGGTCTCCACCATCTTCCTACGGTATCTTCAATAATCCACTCTTGTTTGACTCCATCTTGTCGTCCTAAAATCTGAAATATAAATAAAAATAGGAAGACATCCAATAAAGAAATGTACTTTTCATATTTGATAACCTAACACAACATAAATGCACAAAGAATGATTAATCAAATATCATAGAGGTGATGCTTTTCAAGGTTCTTTTTTGAAAGGAGTTACAAATTTTTGTAAAATGAAGCATTCATGAAAAACAGATTTTTAAATTAAATATTCAAAAGTTTAAAAATGAAATAGCAGAAAAGCATTTTTTATAATAGAATACATCATAGTTAATGTATTTACATAAAATATTATAGATAATTTAAAAAGTTTTAAGAACTAAAAAATTTACAACTTAACATGCAATTCGCATGATAAATAACATCACCTCATTCAATTTTATTTATATTTTTGAAGAGAAAACTAAGAATATTAAAGATTTCCATACCAGGAACCTATTCAGATATGTCAAGAGGGAGCTCCAAGTGGTTAGTGTTGTTGTCACACTGGATTAACTCATACAAGCATGTTATGACATAACATACTGTTCTCAGGTGTATATATATATGGGGGGGGGGGGGGGGGACACAAGTTTAGTTT